CATATGAAACACTATTTGAATAGTTCTCCCTATGATGTTTCCAGATTGGAATGTACAAATCTCCTAGTGAAAAAAGATTTCATATTGGAAGCCTGAACTTTTAAAGTAATGGGAAATCTTCCATGAACTATACTTCACCTTTGCTTTAAGTGTGCGCTTCTTCCTTTCTGAGGAATATACAATTGACCACAACCAGCTCACATTAAAATTGACTTCCCCTCCTACAGTAGTGGTTTACCATGAGGAACCACCCAACTGGGCCAATTAAAAGTGCCTTCGTTGTTTCACAGCCTGTTTTTGGTACACATAAAGACGGTTTCTGTTGTCTATCGTAAAAGGTCACCGTTTTACATAGGAACGGTTTCAAAGACTTCAAAACCAGCTTTTCCAACTGGGAATAAAAGCTTGAGTTGTCGAGACCTGTTTACAGGCACCTTACCTGGCATTGTTACCCTAGCAATCTGCTTCTTGCCTTATAAGCTCTATAGTGGAACCATGCATCACATAGGAACCTGCATTAAGATGTGGGGTGGTGGGGAAATGGACTGAAATAGAAAATGGAGCTTACTTCCACCCATCAGGTCTGAGCAGTGTGCTTTCAAAAGTGGATTAACTCATCTCCCTGCAAGCATGCGGAATTACGGCTTTGTGGCCATGCAGTTCTGATCAATTCACCTGTGGTAGCTCTCATCTTCTGATTTGCAATATCTGTAATGTTCTGCCCATACCTCAATCCTAACACAACCCAGCTCCTCATCCAGTCACCTCAAGATGGACTACTGCATGTGCCATTAGACTATTCTTCAAACACTCATACCTTTAGAATACTTAACCCAGAGACCCATTACTTATGTTCTTGCATTACTACTGCTTGCAGGCCAAGACGCACTGAACTCCTCAGCACTTCATTTAAACTTTACTTTGTTTACAGTTTTTTTGTGGTTTTATGTTACGGTTATATGCACCCTTTGCATCTTGACGAGATGATGACACCAAGTCACTTTGGATCAAAGCATCTGCCGATTTAATAAATGTGAGAGGTCTTTTTTAGGATGCTGCACCAAAAAAAAGAGAAGAGATTATGGATTCAAAGTGTGCAATGCCAACCTCTGAAGAGCGACCACAAACTCAACTAAAGCAGAGAAACATGGCTTGGAGAGAATGGCAACAGCTCAAACCCGAATCAAAAATAGGTCATGAATGTCAGTGTCAGGATATTAACTCTAAGCCTTTTAACATCCCCTAGTGGGCAGAGGAAAAACCCCATTTGAGCCCAGGCAGAATCAGGTCCTGCAACCTCATACAGTACTGCAAATAAGAAAAAGAATAAAGGACAAGACCATGCGATCACCCACCAGTACAAAGACAAATGAATACAAAGGAAATAGGTGATACTGGAGGGCTGAGGCAGTATTAAAAGTGTGTCAACAGATTAATTTAGTATTGAAAGTCCAGGAACTATATGACTGCGATGAAGAGGTCATAATACCAGGGTTTTAGGACCCTCAAACCTCCTTTTTTTTTTAACACTACATTGCTCCGGTAAGAAGCTGCTTGTGCTCCACAAAAAAATGTGTCCCTTCCAGAAGTCACAAAGGACTGCGGGCTCTTCTTAGTGCTCAGCTGACATTTAGTTACAAAACCACATTACAAAGGAAGAAAGGTGGGAAAAGGATTGATCTGGCAATTACAGTGCTACACTGCTGTCAGGTTCTGTCAGGTGGGGTGCACTGTAACTGGGAGGGGACACCCAGAATGTTGCAGCACACTCAAGTTGCATTTCTCAGCTATGCGTCACTAGCTCAGGCCCTTAGGCAGAGACGTTTGTACTCCAGTTCAGATTAATGGATTAGAACTGCAGAAAGAATGGACTTCTCTTGTGCAGTTTTATTTGGCTCTGGGCCAGCCATGTCCTAAAATGTGAGTGCTCTCTGCTGTTCTTGGACGAACTTCTCTCGTGAAAATTGAACACTCCAAATAAAGCAGCGGGCACATGGTCACATTACAAAGACCTCGAAAAATGTACCAGCATTCCAAAAGAACCAGAAACAAACAGCAGCTCCTTACTTCATAATGCTGTAACTCAAGACCAGCAGTGGAGAATTTATTTTTAACACTGTGCTGCGAGGTGATCTCAGCATAGCGGCCTTGAGGGTCCCCTTCCACTCCCCCTCCACCCCCCCACCTGCTGACACACGCCTTCACGCACCCCCATCCAGAGAGGCGCAAGGCCCGTGGAGGCTGAAATCAAATTCCTACCAACAATAAACATGCAGGGCTCAAGCCTCGTCTTGCCATCTCACCGACAACACATCTGTTTTCAATGCCCTTTCTTAAGTAAACACTTTTGCCAAAATTATAGGCTCTTCCCCATGATGGGGGGGGGGGGGATCTTTCTTTCCACTTTTATTTCTATGTTCAAAATTAAAAACAAAAACCACACTGAAACCCCCCCCCACAAGATCTCAACGCTTTTGAGTTATTAAAATAAGGACGGAAACGTTGCCCAAGCTCTTAACCTGTCCAAGATGGCAGGGCAAGGCGATTGAAGTGCAGCCTTTCCTTTAGAGCAGTGCATGGTATTCCTAATACCGCTAGACAATCGATCTGACTTTACAGCAGAGTGGAATTCGAGACTGCGGTGGCAGAGCTTAAGCGTTTCAAAACCAAAACGACTACGGAAGGACAGACTTTCCCGGTGTGCAACAGTGCAGGGGAGGACTGGGGAGCAAGCATTTACAGTAATGTCAGGAATTGAGGGAGGACCGCAGACCTTGACAAAGATAAACCACGTCATAATATTTACAGAACAGGCCTCCGTTTTCAAAAGAATTGAGACAAGGATAAACGACTCCGGGTTTTGAAGATTTATTAACGCACAGCACTGCTGAGTGCCTGCCCACTGGCAACAGTTAGCTGGGATGCTGGACCCTTGTATACAGAAAGCAATACGGTACAAATAAGGGCTGGAAATACTAGGCAAAGGGAGAGAGAAGGGCAGGAGGAGAGCTGAAGGCACTCAGGGCTGTACGTACAGCTGCAATTGCTTGCACTACAATTATTTGACCTATAAGCAGAGCAGAACACGGAGTTCTTGAGCAAAATGAATCGCAGCATTTCCTTTTGTGGGGAAGCCTGTCTTGGGAGACAATTCGCAGAAAAAAAAAAAGAATGAAATCATAAGCTCTAGAGAAGGGAGAGGCGGTGCTGATCAAGTTGTTTTTCAGCGTCTGGTGTCAAGCAGCGACAGGCTTCTCCAGAAACGTGCGATTTTGAGAAGAGACAACTGGGAATTCGAATGGATACCATTAGTCTTTTTGTCAGACTTTTTTTTTTATTCTGTAAAAACCAAGAAAAAAAAAAGGTCGATATAAATGACCATTTGAATCTGGAAGGCTGGGGGAAGTCTCTAAACGCTCTACCTCAAAATCTGAAACATGCCTCCCCCATCCAGTGGATACAGTAGTCATGGAAACGGCTTAATCCAGGTTGAGGGGACAAGTCCTCCCAACTGGCCTCACAGCTCTCAGCGGGGTCTCTAGATAGACTCCAACACACTCATGCAATAATGAACTAAATACAGTCCAGTCTAAATTCCAGTGAGCTCCAGGTAGAACTGGAGAAAAACAAAGTTGCTATGGTTATTATCATTGTACAAACAGGTCACCAGACGCAGAGCAACTATTTATTTGCTTTGCATGACCTCCATGTTTTGGAAGGCCTTTTAATTGCCTTGTAAACTATCCAAATGGACTTGAATGGAGCTCAACCTTTGAATGGATACCAGATCACTTATTACCTAAAATGGATGTCGTAACTGACTAGTGTATTCAAGAGTCCAACTCAGCCTTGACAAGACTGAATTCTCAGTGAATACCAGAAAGTATGCCCTCTTCAATAAATTAGAAACGCATCCAGTGTCAGAACACATACAGACATGCACACATTCACTAAAATCAAGGAAAAAAAAAAGCTTAAAAAAAACACGCAGGAAATTCTTCCATGAACTAAAATCTTGAAGACAGGCTACATCCTGGATTACTATAATCCACAGGGATTTAGAAATAGGAGAGGGCGAGTAAAAATCGTGTCTTAATGTCGTTTGATTTTGCAATTTATTTGTGTTATAAATTAAAACAAAATTGTTCTCACGGCCATCAATCTGTTCCTTTATTAAAAAAAGGACTTGGAAATCAAACCGAAGCTGACATTTCCTAACTTTTGCCTCTACATGCAACAGGCAAGAATATAAACATGTGAAGGGGTTTCAATCCATTAGGGAAAAAAAGCTCCCCCATATTTATTTTCTGTATTCATAGCTCGTCGTTGATCCAATAATAAGGGCATGGTACTCAACACTTTCCCCACAGGTCTCCAAGCCTCTAGGCATCAAAGCCTGACCGACTACTACACATGAAACGCAGCTCCTCACATGTCGAGTGCCAGGAATCAGCCGTCTGCACTTCGACAGAACAGCTGGAAACCACTGGGCTCAACACCTCCCACTCATAATGCAACACATGCGGATACGTTATCACGCAGTAAAATGTCCCGGCACAGATACCCAGGCCATTTTCAGAAATGGCCCCCTGCAGTCAGTCCCGAGAGCAACAGCAGTGCCTACAAACAAAACCTGTTGCTTGCAGAGCAACATGTTATTGCCATGGACAGGCGATGCCCATGGACTATATGCCTTGCAGCACTCTGCTTATGCACACATACCAGAATAATGCAGTCTTTGCTACCCCACTTAAATTAAACCATCCCTCTTATTTGCTTGAGGAGCTCTAATAAGCTTTGCACACGCTGCACCAGGGGTTGTGCTGTGTGGGCTTCACAGGAATTTCCTCTGGATTTCCTGTGCTGGGTAGGTATGCAAGTGGCTCAACTTCAATCAGACTTTCACCAGGTGCACTTATGTGGATGCAAGAGCAACTTTCACACTCCGCCAGGATTTAGGGCCCAGGCATGCGAGAGAAAGCCAGAAAACAAGCTCTTACCCTGGAGACTGTGAGCGGCATGCTGAAGTCCTTCCCTCCCTGCAGTCTGAACCCCCAGGGAGCTGGCCCCTTAAGCGTCACGGTGTATGTATTCATGGCCTGGACAGGAAAAGAACAAAAAAATTATACATGTGCTGTGTCCAAGAATAATCAACGCACATGCATCTTTTAAGCAGTGATGAACAGCCAGTCAGCCCTGGAGACTCCACTTTACAAACAAAAATAGATCAGTTGCTGACAATGGCACTAGTTTTATATTCGTTACTGCATCTGGAGGAGTCTAGTACTCTTTACCGAGTTTGTAAAAACGGAACCGATTCACAGCAACCGCACTGACCATGGGATTCATCACAATTTCCTAACGGACAACCCACTATCAATGAAATTATAATACTTTATTTACATCTGTATTCATGTACTGCCCTGTAAAACACACACACATAGTGTAGTCTTTCATGCAAGTTCACAGTCAGATGAAGAGATCTGCTCATCCCTATCAGATTCTTATAAACGCAAGGATAGTCTGCATTACATGTACAAGGAGAAGCAGTTTAACTTAAAATGTTGCCTTTTAGTTTAAACGCACAGTATACGATGCCGGAGCTAGTTTCACTAACACCCTGTTGATGACTGATTAGGCTCTCCAGTGTGTTCAGGAAACATCTTTGAAACAAAAGCACTCAGAGACTTCCTGTTGGATCAAGGTGGAAGAGAGGGGGGGGAACGGGGACTGACTGGCTGGGCTTCACACTCCTGGTTCTTAACATTTCGGTGTTGGCTTTTGATTAGATAATAATGACAGCGCTGAAATGCACCACATGGACTTCCTACACTTCAGCCACCAGTGGAATACTGATGCCTGCGCCTTTCATTAAAGCATCAAGCTCTATAAAAGAAACCCAGCATCACAAAAATATTTTAACTTGCCTGCATAATCTTCGATTTCTCTTTCCCCACTAAGATATATACTGATCAGATTTTAACGAAGAAGAGCACCATGCTGAGATCTTGATATGGAGACAGCAGACAGAATAAGTTTAAAAAAAAAAGGGAAAAGATCGCACCCTACATTTATTACTTTGTTGTCCTAAACACAGCATTGTTATTCATTATGGAAAAAACAATGTTTAGAGGTTTCACAGACAAGGAACTGTGTGTTGTGAGCAAATCTGCAATCTACTACTTAAAATCTGATTTTATTTGTCAGTAAATAAATGTTCTTCTTTCAGAAAAAAACAACAACAAAAAAAAAAGGCCAAGAGACAATATGGGCTGAAGTACAGTATGAAACACAGTTTACATGAAACAGCCATGCGTGTGTCCTTTAGCACACTGTCACTATCCCTTCATCTGCAGTTAGTTCATCTATCCCTTCATTTGAAGATTTGCAATAATCAATCTTCCTCCACCCCCCCCATGTTACTTCTGTGCCACTGCAAAGCTACAACTTGTAAAATCAGGAGGATAGTGGAAGAGCTCTGCAGAGAGGTCAATAAATTCCTCTCAACTCACGACTGACAGAACAGGACAGGCAGGGAATTCCTTCAATATATATATATATCACAGCTAAGCTGTCATCTGTTTTTGAACCACCATAATGAGCCTTGCAAAAGTGTCCCCAGAGAAAATCAGTATTGCCACAGCAATGCTGTATATACAGTTACCAGAATAGACACCTGAAGAAAGTGCAAAAAAACAAATGCACAAACGTCTTGACATTCCCCGGATAACTGAATGTAAATGAAGCATGCCACCGCCGGTTTACAACTAAATCAGCAAACGGTATTTTCACACAAGTCTCCTGTGGCTCTAAAGGGCAAGGTCAATTTTTGAAATGCATAAGATGATCCTTTACACCAATTACGATCCTAGTTTGCCAAACAAACAGCCATCGATGTCCACAAAAACAGCCTTCAATACTTTCCTCTGTGCGACGTCTTCAGGGTCTACCCTGAAACCCAAGTCTCTGAAACCCAAAGGAAAGTAGGACTCAAGGAGTCTCATTTTCTTACCACTGTTAGTCTTTCCCCTGCTCCTGTCCCGGCAAAGGCTCTCCTGCTCTCTCCTCACGCTGCTCAGAGGCTATATAAGGAATGTAAAACTACACCGAACTATTTCAGCCCAACACCCCAGTGAGTCACAGCTCAGAGAGAACGTCAGCCACCCTGATTTCCTGGCTCTTAGCTCACATATTCTAACCAATAGTTGCTGGAAGAGACAATCAAAAGGGGGGGGGGAAGACAAGTCAACATTCTTTTCTGCAGCCATCACATGCATTCAGACATAATGTAACAGAGCTAGCAATTAAGGGGGGGTGGGAGGTAGTATTTAAGAGCTTTAAAGAGACTGCCTTTTATTTCTGCAGCAGAACCCAATAACTTTAAATGGGCACTCTTTGTCCAAATCAAAATCTTTATTGACTAAGCTCAGCATTGGCAATGAGAAGCCTCTGTGACTCCTTGACAGGAGCACTGACCCTTCTCACTGGTCAGTTTGCCCAGCTGAGCCACTCAAATTGTCAGGTACAAAAGCCTGTTTGAAGATTTTCTGCTGATAAAAGCCTCTCAGTACGACCGGTTTGAAAACAGATACTTCAACATCTTTGTACGTCTCCTACAAGGATGCCTAAAAAAGGGTACCTGTTTTTAATGACCTATATATTAAAATAATTCAAATTTGGTGGATATTCTGAGAGGCTTCGGTTTCCAACTAGAAGCCAGGAGGGGACTGAACAGCTAGCAGCTGTTTCTGGAAAAAAAAAAGAAAATTTGATTGTAAAAGTCAGAGTTGAGAAGAGGGTAGTAAGAATACAGGAGACAACTGGCTCTCAGCTACCGGTTTCGTTTTTTACCAGAAACAGAAAACCCAAATCCACTAAGCTTGAGCTTCTTGCAAGACGGTTAAATGAGTTTTGGTTTTCTTCTACACATTAGACATTGTAGTTATTCTGCTCAAACCAAAATTAAACCGATTTTTCTATATTTAAGGCTACATTAAAATAGTGAACAGTTTTTGGATACCTGGGACTAGAGAAGAACACTGCACCAACTGCTACAGGGCATTTAAAAAGATGCATTTATGGGGGAACTTCACTCTAAGGATTTATTCTGGTGCTAGTGTTCCCCTTCGACAAAGGGCAGGATGTCGTTGATATTTTGAAAGCACCAAAAAGTATTCCAATTGGTGTGATCTGTAGTGTGGCTTGCTTTCAATACATTAACACATCTATAGCTGTGCTGCCCTCCTTAGTTTTGTTATTTTTTATTACAGAGAGGTCCCACAAGTATATTACTCAGGAAAAAGAGAGGAAACAGATTCTCTACAACTGTATACAAATCTCTCTGAATAACCACAATGCACTTTGAAGTGCCAAACCATCGCATTCTGCAAGTTATTCCACCAAATTATTTCCTGTTTTTCCCATGTCCTTTACTGTGCAGGTCTTTTGAGCTTGCAGACTGCAGTTTATTCTTTGGAAACCTTTTAACGAAACCAATCACTGTCACAGAATAGAGTGCATTTTAACCAAATTGCTGTAACCAGTCAAGGACCTCTGTAAAAACACGGAATAATGAAATCACACTACAGACAAAACTTTCAAATAGTTTTTTTTTTTAGGAGTGCTTATGCTTTAAGCTAGGACAAGATGTACTGAACTGTGAAATGAAAAATCACAGTTTAACTGGGAGTTGCTGTTGGTTTAAATAAAATTCCTCCATTAGATACCTATTAAAAGACTTTGAGATGGTACACTTACATTTAGAGTTTAGCACTAAGCATGCCTAACCCCAATACTTTAAATCTTATTTTCACTGTATTCTACCTTATTATGAACTTATTCTACCTTATTACGCTCATTATGAAGCGTGACATTCAGTTCAACAAAAATAAGACATCGTTGTGACTTTCACACTTAGTCTTTCAAGTTTAATGAACATCCAAGAGCAAAACAAACCTAGTGAACTACCAGCGTGCCTCTGGCCTGACAAAGAAATACAATTATGTCAGTCCGTTTTGCTTTGTCTCCAAGATAGGTGAATTACCTTATTCACAAAAGGTTTTGCATCTCATGTTTTCAGATAAAGACACTTATTAGCCATTACACAAGACAAATACTAGAAACATCAATCCCACTAGACATTTTTACACCGACAACAAGACCCCGTTGTTAATTAAATATTTAAACAGCATATTATTAACTTTTAGCAATTCTTCCCAATAGTTTCTGCAGGATTCTCAGGTACATCTTCTAGGTTTTCCTCTCTTTTCTGCAAAGTTACAGTTTAAGACATCATCTTAAACTAAGCAACTAAGGTTGCTGCTGGAAGAGGTGTTAGTGGGGCCAGCAGGGGG